GAACTTCAAAGAAAAAGGGTAGCAGAGAGACGAGGCGGAAACAGACCGGGGGCGACACCGCTCGAATGACGCGTCGAACCCAGATTGCGCGCAAGCCGCACGCCGAATGCCCAACATCCGAGCGGAACAAAGAATAGCCGAACAACTTGAAACATCTAATATTTCTTGGCTCTGGAAGAAAAAACACACACAAAAAAAACGTTGCACCAATCCGCTTGGGGGACGCAGCTTCATGACACAAGCAGAGAGGGGGGCGAGGGAGGAGGGGGAGGAGGAAGGAGGAAAGGGCGCGGAGCGATGCGTATTCCAAACGAGGACCCAACTCCGCACAGTACTGTATGGTTGGGCAGAACTGCTCGGGGCGAAAAACAGATCCTGGGGGTGGGTCGAGACGTCGGGGGTCGGCGTTGTGAAAAATGGGCTTGGCGAAGAACACAACCATCTGCAAATGCGAGTACTGCAAGACAGGTGGGAACCAAGGGAAGGGGCCATCAAAAGGACTAAGGCGTGAGTGGGCAGGGCGGAGCGACAATGCTGAGGTCGCGGAGGTCGGCCGCAACTGGCTACATCTGGATGCAACCCGTTACCGCTGATCTTCGCGTCCGCCGGCACGGCACCGGCGGGGCAGCATGCGGCGGGGCATTCGAAGGAGCCACGAAGGCTGTGAAGAGAGTGCCGACATAGTCGCGGGCACGCTTGCGATTCCTGGAACAGTAGCCTTCGGTGGAGCCCCCTTATGGGGCCACGAAATATGTAAGGGGTGCGCCGACATGGTGTGGACTAGGTACGCGAACCCAGCCACTGGGGTCTCAGAAGGTGCGCCGGAACGGTGTGGACCAGGTATGCGAACGCAGCCACTGGGGCCTCAGGTGCAGCTCCATACGGGGCCACGAAACGTGTGAGGAGTGCGCCGAAACGGCGTGGACCAGGTATGCGAACACAGCCACTTGGGCCTGAGGTGGAGCCCCCATATGAGGCCACGGAACGTGTGAGGGGTGCGCCGAAATTGCGTGGACCAGGCATGCAAACGCAGCTGCTGGGGCCTTAGGTGGAGCTCCCTATGGAGCCACGACACGTGTGAGGGGTGGGCCAACATGTCTTTGATCAGGCATGCGAACGCAGCCACTTTGGCCTTAGGTGGAACTCCAACGTGAGAGCGGTGTGGCGACATGGACATGCGGAGGGCCGAGGCAGAGAGGGGGAGGACGAAGGAGGAAGGAAGGAAGCAAGGATGGAGGGACGCGGGGACTGTCTCTTCAAAACCGGGACCCAACACCACAGGATGGTTGAGGACAAAACACGACGTCCGTCGCCTAGTTCCCGAGATGGCGCCAAACACATATGCGTGTTCAACGGATCCAACAATTGCACGGACGGGCTGCGGCTCGGTTTTAAAATGCAGCTTCCGCCCTAGCGCCGCACACTCGTCTTGAAAGCTCCCCACAGTTCTGGCTACACGGATGGAAGGCGAGTGGTTTTCTAAACGGGACTCTCGCCTGAACGCCGCGCGCATTCGTCTTCAAAACTTCAAGCAACTATACCGGTTGAGGCTGATTCATCATTGAGAAAAGGGTTCTCGCTTGGAACGCTTCCACGCTCAACGTCAGCAGAACAAAATCGCAACAGCTCCACTGATAGAAGGCGGGCCATTGTTCAAGACGGGGATCACGCTGACCGCTTCCTTGAACTGACGGATCCTACAGTTCGGCAGTTCCAATTTTCATTTGGGAGGATGGAGCGCGGTCCCTTTCGAAAGCTGCACTCAAGCTTGAGAGACAGATCCATGGAGCGCTTGTCTTGCAGGGGACGCTTCCTGCTGTGCAACGGGATGCTTGTAGGGATCCACCTATGAGGAGGAAACTTGGGACGG